CCCCCCCCCCCCCCCCCCCCTCCCCCGCCATGAATCCGGCTGCATCGACTCGGGCCATTGCCCTCAGCCACGTCCTGCACTCGGGCTCGTACTTGGAGGCGGCCTCCCGCCTCGCCGACCCGCGCCACGACCACGACGCCGTTGTCCGCGCTGCCGCCGCTCGCTCGCGCGCCCCGCCGCCGCCGCGTCCCCGCGCTGCCCGCCCCGGCGCCCACGTCCATGGCATGGAGCCGGCACTGGCCTTTGTGCCTGCCGCCGATGGATCGCGCGAGGCGGTGCTCGCGCTGCCCGAGGCCGGCGAGGCGGTGCTGGCGCGGATGGCGGCGCGCGAGGAGGCGGCCGAGGCGGCTGCGACGGCGACGCTCGGTCCGAGCACGCTCGGTGCCGCGCACACCGAGCAGCGGGCGGCAGTCCACACCCTCGTTCCGCCGTTTGCCTTTTCGTCCGACGCCGGATCGCCGGCCCGCCGCGCTGAAGTCGCGCTGCGCAAAGCTCAGCACTGGCACTCGCTCGGGCAGATGCGGGCGTCATTGGCGTCGGCTATGGCGCCAGCCGCCTCCGACTCGGCCTCTCACGCCATGAGCGTCACCACCGCCGCCTCGGTCCGGGCCGTTGTCGACGCCATGACAGAGGCCTCACTGTCGCCGTCAAAGCGGCGCCGCAGCTCGCCACGCCGCTCCGCCGCCGCAGGCGTGGAGACCGACTCGGACGAGTCGGACGAGGGCGACTGGCGCGAGGCCGAAGGCGACGCAGTCATGATGTCACAGGCAGAGCGCTTGCCACAGCGCGATGTATGGGGCGCTGCCTCACTGGTTCTCGAGCGCGACACCGAGCTCGAGCACGCGCTCAACTCGCCACCGGAGAAGCTTGCTCTTCCGAGCGCGGCGCCAGTGGCAGCTGCCGCTCGTAAGCGAGTCCCATTTAACTACCGCATTGCAGAGCCAATGGACAATGCCGGCAACGTCTTGCCGCAGCCATCAGCCCTGCTCGACAAGCTCAAGGCTCACCAGCGGTCCAACTCGCGGTCGGCGGCCACGCGGCGGATGCGGACGCTCGAGGTCCGCCTGCACCCTCGCGCCAGCGATGCAGTCCACAACGCACTCAACGCTCACCTTGCGGAGGCCGCAGCGCTACATGCACAGCTGCAAGCCGGCGCTGGCCTTGCCGATGGCACCACTGTCGACGTCGATCCCGAGCTCGTTGCTGCGCTCTCGGCCACGCCGGCACTCTCTTCTCATCCCGTCGCCGGCGCGGACACTGATGAAAACTCGAAGTTGGCCCAGAGCAACACACATTTTGCGCCACTCAACCCGTACTTTGCCGGCGCGCTTGGCGAGCTCTCGATTCCAGATGCGGCGCGACGCGCTGTCTCCAACCGGCTCGGCCGCCTTGTCCGCGAGCGCGCCGCACCCAAGCACCACGCCCCCATCTCGGGTCTACAGGGCTTACTGGCCAACGCTCGCCTCCGGGTGTAATAGCTTGCCGGCGCAAGAGTACCGCTGTGATAAACGGAGCCTGTGATTGCTGTCCAAACGCATTGGAACCTCCCAGCCTCGCTGATAGACATGGGATTCTGGGCCGTAACTTGTGAAGTACGTAAGCTGCAACAACGCGAGCAAGTTCATATGATAGAACAGACAGAGGACAACATGTCTAGCTGCGTCTTTACTTTGTTGTCATGAGTATGCCAGGTAGAGGACGAGAAAACTGATCCTCGTAGAAAGAGAGGGTAATCTCAGACAATTCACTCCCAATGTCAATTAAACATATATAAATCTATTCTGATACAATAATAAAATAGATCAAATTGTGTTTATTCAAAAATACACACGCACACATTATAATTAAATAAATATTGAATATATTCCACATGTGAGTGTTTTTTTTTATATTTTTGTATTGCAGTCTCTCGGCCGAACATCGGCTTCGATCTGGCGTTATCACGGTCATGGGAAGTTACTCGCATTTAGCTCTGAACGCAAATTGGTCCCACCCGGAGGGTGGAGTACTCTGGCGCCGGAGATCGTCGGGACTGTGATGGTTGATGCTGCAGGTACGGTATTAGGTTGCGGTTGTGAGCACGCGCGGCGTGTGACACTGATCGGAGGCTGTGACGAGGTCTCATCCGTGCGCAACAAGTTGCGCACGGATGAGACCTCGGCGGGGGCCTACGGCCGCCCGCTGCATCCCGAGTCACGCGGTCTTTCCCCCCAGGTATAGGTTGCGAGTTCATTGATGCTGGATCTCTCTACTGGGTGAGTGGCGGGGCGACGTCGTTGGCTGTGGTGCGCTGCAACTCGCGTTTGAGGTTGTCAGGCAACTTGAGGCGGTTGAGATAGTTGAATGTGGGCGACTGGAAGAAGATGAGGCCACTGCTGGTTCGTGCTCTGGACATGGCGACGTAGAGAGCCTGAGCAGAGAGAGTCGCGTGGGGTGAGTTGGTCTTCTCGGCAAAGGCGGGGATGATGGCGACGGAGAGGCTAGTGCCTTGGACCTTGTGGACGGTGGAGGCAAAAGCGGCGACAATGGGCAGTTGGCGAAGGGAGAAGTTGATCTTGGTTGGGGCATGTGCGGTTCTGTTGGCTGAGGGGACGGTGAGCCGGCATCCAGAAGCGGCGCGGGGCACGACAGCGACGACGGACGTGGGGAAGGTGTCGGGGACGCCTGGTAGGTGGGAGGTGCGGCCACGGAGGGACGGAACGTCGACGTAGACCACAGCAGGAAGGGTGTTGGGGATGCGTACGACCGAGTTGGGGACGGAGCGAGAGAGGATCTTGTGTACGAATGTGACGTTGTCAGGGAAGACGACGCCGACGACGATACCAGTTGTGCCGTTGCAGATGGCAGCGGAGGTGGCGATGTTGTCGATGAACATGACGGGAGTTCCGATGGCGAGCGGGACACGCATGTCGTAGTAGCAAGTGGCGCTTGAGCCGGGAAGGCGAAGGAGAAGGTCGCGGGTTGAGTCGCGAGGTGGGGAGCGAGCGATGGAGATGACGGCTTCAACCATGATGGGCGGCGGGGCTTCGGCAGCGTGTGCAGCTGCGGCGATGCGAGCGTACACTGTTGTCGTCGCCAGGAACACGATCGTTCGCTGGATCAATACGCGTTCCGAATAGGTCAAGCCAGAGAGCTGATCAGGAACCGGACCAAGCCACAGGCCGTTGGCGATGGCCAAGCGGGGGGGTGGTGGCGGCTGGTCTGTGTTTTGGCTGGCACGCGATGGCTCGGAGAGCAGCGATGTGAAGCAGAAGCGGCAGCACTGGAGGACAAAGTCCGGCGTCCCTCCGTTTGACCTATACACATGTGGCATGAAGACGTCGCTGTCCGCGTCCTCACGCTGGGGTTGGGCGCGCCTGAGGCCGGCTGGGTCGAGGAGGACCTTGGACAGGTAGGGACAGACGTCGGCAATGGAGTAGTGATTGACCAAACTAGCTGGCAGCTGGGCAGCAGTGGGCACTGTGAGCTTGCGGACCATCTGGTACATGACAAGACCACATTTGGGACCCTTCCGGACTGAACGGGGCGGTCTGCGTGACCAGCATGGCGTGCGGTCTGGGCGCTCGACAAAGGCCGGCGGAGGGTTGGCGAGAGAGATGAGCTCGACGTCGGACGCTGCGACCGAGCGCGAGCAGACGGCACACGCAACGCTGTCGGTGGCGTCCGTGATGGCCTGCACCGCACTGTTGACTAGGTCTTGCTCGTCCTCTCTTGAGAGCGCGTCGGGGAAGGCCGAGGCCGGGGAGTTGGGCGGGCAAGGGGCCCGGGTGTGGTGGACACTGTCCAGGCCGAGCTTGGCAAAGCACTCACCAAGCATGGCGACCGCGTCGCCATGCAGGTCGTTCCACCATGCGTCGTGCAGGCCCACCGCGACCACCTGATCAAGGGTGCGTGTGTCCACAGCAGGATTGGCGCTTAAGTGCTCGGCACGCAACTGGGCCTCTTGGTCATCTAGCCAGCGCCGCGTGGCGAGGTCGAGACCTGCCTGCTCCTGGCGGCGCTGGAGAGCCATCATCGTACGGACACGGACCCGCTCCTGTATGTCCTCAATAACGGCAGCAAACACGGCCTCGAGCGTGGTTTCGGGCTCGATGTCGCTCGCATCAGCGGCGCATTCGATGGCGGCGGTGCTTGCTGCGCTCGCGCTACTTGCCGCGGTTGCGGTGGTCTCGGCCCTTGTCGCACCAGGCGCAGGAGCAACAACAATCTCGCCTGGTCGCGGGGCCCTGGTTTGCTGCGCAAGTCCTGGCCCTTGTTGCGGTTGAGTCCTTGGACGACCACGACGATCACGACGACGCCGACTCTTTGTGATGCCGCGGCCGATGACCTCATCCCGGATGCGAGTGGCCGCCATCGTCGGCCATGCTGCAGGCGCTGGTAACGACGCCGGACCGGTCCGGCTGTCCCGAGGTGGTTGGGGCGCGGTGCGCGCCGGGTTGGGGGTGCGAGCAGGTGCGGCACGAGGCGGTGCAAGTTGGGTGGCTCCGGTGGACGCCGGCAGGACATCTGCCGCAGGATCGGGCGGGGCAGTGCCGGCGACATCCATGGGGGTCAAGCCTTCGTTGGTTGTTGCCTGCGACGACGGGACCAGGGTCATCGGTGATGGGCACGCACGGTTGCTGTCGTCGTCGTCGTCGGAATAGTCGTCCGAGGAGTCGCGCGGTACCTCTATCGGAGACAGCAGATAGTCGTTGCCGTCGAGTAGGCATTTCTCTCGGAATGCCGGGTAGAGGAGATGAAGCCGAAGACGGTCCATGTCGGGTCGTTCAGGGTGCCACTCGGGCCACCAGGGCACCGATCCACGCTGGGTCAGTCTTGGGATATCATCTTGTGTTGGTTCGGCTGCCATGACCCGGGATACGTACTCGTCATCGTCGAAGCTGTTGCCGAGGGGTACCTCTTTGACGAACTCGATCTTGAGGCGCAGTTGCGCGAAGAGGCGCCCCTTTGCCGACCTTTTCCGCTCGCGCTCGACACGTTTGCGGGCAGCGGCCCTGGCGGCCTTGTCTGTGTGAGCCTTGTCCCTGGCGGCCTTGTCTGTGTGAGCCTTGTCCCTGGCCCGCTGCGCGGCCTTCTTAGCTGCTTGTGCCTTTTTGCTGGTTGTCCACTCCCCCGCTTTAGCCAGGGCCTTGGCGGCTTTCTTGGCAAGACGGGAGGCCAATGTTTTCATCTTCCTGGCGTTCCTGACTGTTATGGTCGGGTCGGTGCTGTTGAGCGCGTCGTCGATAACGCGGGCGCCAGTTTTCAGGTCTTCGAGGTTGCGATTTTGCTTTGCAAGTTGTCCTGCAAGCCTTCGTGACAGACGAATGGCCGAGAAGTCGTTCAGGGCGGCAGCCGTCGCCGCGAGCCTCTGCATGGCCAGGGCGTAGGAGTTGCGGGCGGATTCCAGGTGGGCGTTGGCTCTGCGAGCGTTTTCTCTTGCACGGTGCCTCGCCCGCGCCGCAGCCTGTGAGGACGCGTGTGTACGGCCCTGGGATGGCGTGTTTTCGAGATGCTTCGACTTCTTGTCCGGGGGTGGGGGTTGTTCGCAGCCGCCGTCGTCATCACGGGGTCGCTTGCGTGAGCTTTGACCTTGTCTTGGACGTGCCGAGGAGCTTGTGGACGACCTGTTCTTGTCCATATGTGTGTGTGCTTGTGTGTATGTGTGTGTGCATGTGTGTGGAGATCGGTGAAGGTCCTAACGAACGGCACCTGCGTTTGTTCGCTCGCAGTTGTGGGCGGGAGTGCTCGCGTGACTGTCGGCGGCTGTTGGGCAGTCCAAAAAAGGTCGTAGTTTGGGGGGGTGAACGTGTGCTGGAGGGAGTGAAACCCATAAATGCTGGGGCGGCGACGCGAGCATTTAGTCTCCCACGTTTTGTAGCCATTTTGGGCGAAAGTGTGTGACGTCACAAAAGGGACGGCTGGTTAAACTCTAGCTGGCGCCAGAGAATTTATGTCCCGGCGGCACTGGAGACATACACACGCTACGCGTGCCCCAGAGCGGGATCAAGCTTGAAAGCGATGCGATACAAGCGCATGGCCTCGGCCATGTCGCCTGCATCCTCAGCATTGCCTGCGGCATTGAAAAGATCGAGCGCTCGCCGCTTGTCGGGATCGCGAACAGCGCTTGAGCCAGCGACGCGGGCGTACATGACATCAGTCCGCAGGATGTACTTGCGGCCGGCTTCCGGTCCGAGCTGCTCACCCTCGTGCATGATGTGGTGGTTAAAGATGATGGCGCAACCAGACGTGGGCGAAAGTGTGCAGGTACACAGCCTCATCGGGTGCACGGTAGATGTGGCGCTCCTCGTCGCGGATGGAATGGGCCGTGTGCACTAAATAAATATTGAATATATTCCACATGTGAGTTGTTTTTTTATATTTTTGTATTGCAGTCTCTCGGCCGAACATCGGCTTCGATCTGGCGTTGTCACGGTCATGGGAAGTTACTCGCATTTAGCTCTGAACGCAAATTTATGTCCCGGCGGCACTGGAGACATACACACGCTACGCGTGCCCCAGAGCGGGATCAAGCTTGAAAGCGATGCGATACAAGCGCATGGCCTCGGCCATGTCGCCTGCATCCTCAGCATTGCCTGCGGCATTGAAAAGATCGAGCGCTCGCCGCTTGTCGGGATCGCGAACAGCGCTTGAGCCAGCGACGCGGGCGTACATGACATCAGTCCGCAGGATGTACTTGCGGCCGGCTTCCGGTCCGAGCTGCTCACCCTCGTGCATGATGTGGTGGTTAAAGATGATGGCGCAACCAGACGTGGGCGAAAGTGTGAGGTACACAGCCTCATCGGGTGCACGGTAGATGTGGCGCTCCTCGTCGCGGAAGAGCGGTAGGCTGTCGTCGAGAAAGTTGGTGGCGCCGCCGTCGGCCACGGCGTTGAGGTACAGCATGCAGGTCTTGAACGAGGCCGTCTCGGCGTCGACCACAAACTGGCCGTCGTAGTGCGGCGCAAAGTGGGCGCCGGGTTCGTATCTGCACAGTCGAAACAGTGGATTGAGCCCGGTCGGCCGCCATGTCCCATCCTGACCGATGGCGCCGCCTCGCCCGAGCGACGGCCGCGGCGGCTCGCCTGGGCCCGGGACGACGATCTCCGGCTCGAGGTGCGGCGCGAGACGGGCGTACAGCTCGTCCGCCAGCCGTGGCGAGTAGAATCGCAGCCGCGTGTTCGAGCGGATGTCCTTGCGGCGGGTCGGCTCCTCGGCGATGCCGACGGCCTCGCCCCACGCCATCAGCGCCTCGGCCTCCTCGGCCGAGATGAGCGGGCTGAGCGTCATGCCGCGGACCAGATCCGCGCCTCCCGCCTCCGCATCCACACCTTCTTCTTCGTCTCCATCTCCGCCTCCGCGAAGCGCCAGAACAGTGCGGACGCACTCGGCCGGCGGCGGCGCGGCGAGCGACGGCAGAGGCGGCCCGCCCGGTGTCTCGGGGTCGTATGCTCCAGCGGGCGTCTCGGCCTCCTGCACCAGCGTGCGCTGCAGCTCTGGGTCCATAGCACAGTCGCGGACTCGTGGGCGGTTCGGCTCGCAGTTCTGGCGGTGGAGAGGCTGCGAGGCGTGCGGCGTGTTCCAGCTGGGTTTTCTGCTGGCGGTGCCCTGCCGGCCTTCCATTGTGGTCGAGAAGCACACGATGCAGGGCGCGGGGAGTTTATGACGGCAGCGCCAGGCCAGGTCGTGTGCGGCGCACTACTCCGAGTCGTCCATGGCAGTGAGGATCTGCCAGTCATCGGAGCCCTGGATCTCTTCGGCAAAGTGGTTGGTGTAGAGCTTGGGGTCGTACGTGCCCTCCTCGGGGTGGAACCGCAGTGTCTCGTTGTAGATGAGGGCGCGGATGACGTCAATGGGGAGGTCGTCGGCGAGCTCAAAGTCAAAGGTGGGGAACTCGGCGTCGGCGACGATTTCTGACGCCGGCTTGCGGATCTTGGCAAAGAACGGATGGGCAAGGGCGTCAGCGGCAGAGATGCGGACACGCCAGTCGACAGCGAGCATGCGCTCGAGCAGGTCGATGAGCTCGGGCTCGGCCTCGGGAAAGTGCTCGGCGAGCGGGCGGGGGGCCGGGTACTCGTAGTCGTGGACGTAGGCCTGGGCCTTCGGGTAGCGGTACATGGCGACCAGGTCCTCGGGCGGCGGGCCAAAGGTGTCGAGGATGAGGTTGAGCTGGTGTGAGTCAGAGATGCCGCGGAGCCACGGCTTGCCGCAGAGAAACTCGGTGAGGATCATGCCGACCGACCACATGTCGATCGACTCGTTGTAGTTGAGTGGGTCAAGGAAGAGCTCGGGCGCCCGGTAGTAGCGGGTCACCACGACAGCCGCGTATGAGATGGCCATGTGCTGCCGCGCGAGGCCAAAGTCACAGACCTTAAGGAAGCACTTGGCGTTTGAGAGGCAGTTGGCCGGCTTGAGATCACGGTGCATGCAGTTGGCCGAGTGCAGGTACTTGAGTGCCTTGACCAGCTGGTAAATATAGTACCGGTAGTGGTCCTGCGTCAGCGGCTGGCCCGACGAAATGATAAAGTGCAGATCGACCTTCATGAGGTCGACCACAAGATAGATCTCGTTGAACGTCGTCTGCTCCGTCTTGTCGACCACCATGATGTCGTGCACCTCCAGAATGTTCGGATGCTTGAGGAACGAGTGAATCTTGAGCTCGCGGAGCGACCGCTTGGCCGACAGCGGATGCGCAAACACTGTGCATCCCCACCGTATTCAGTGCCCCCCCCCCCCATCGCAACTCGCACAGCGTGAGTCTCACGGCCATGAGCACACCCTTCCTCTTCCTCTCCTCTCCTTCTCACCCTCTCTCCCACGTACGGTCAAGCAGCTTCTTGATCGCCACCTTCTTTCCCGTCACCAGATCCAGGCCTTCGGCGACAACGCCGTACGCGCCCTTGCCGAGGATCTTGTCGACCCGATAGCGGGCGTCGACCGTCATTTCCACCGTCGTGCGTTTGTACGTCAGATGAAACGTCGTCTTTCCCGACGGGATCGACTGCGAGATGTCCATGTCTGCACCCAATCACCACCGTAAGTCCGCATTGCCACCACCAGTCGCATCCCTGCCGGCCAGACCAGCCTTTCCTGTCAACATGCCCCGCCTTCGCCCCCCCCCCCC